AATTCTAAAATCTTAACTAATATTTTAACTTTACATGCTGTTTTTATTCAGGTAGTCCTCAACCTGTGGCCACAATTGAGCCCAACGCTTAGGTTGCTAAGTGAGAAATTTTGTCAAATGAATTTGGCCCCATTGTACGACTTATATTGCCACAGTTTGTGAAGTGAATCACTGCGGTTATGAAATGAGTAACCCGGTTGTTAAGTGAATCTGGCTTCCCCACTGCGACCTTCTAACAAGCACAGTCAATGGGGAAGCCAGATTCACTTAACAACCAGGGATACTGCGATGGTCATAAATGTGAGTCAGTTGCCAAGCCTCCGAATATAAATCACGTCACCACGGGAATGCTGCAACGGTCATAAGTGTGAAAAATGATCATAAATCGCCTTTTTCAGTGCAGTTGTGACTTCAAATGGTCACTAAGTGAACTCTTGTAAGTTGAGGACTACCTGATGTTTTATTCTATATCACCTAGAGTGCCTCTTTGAGAGAGGTAAGGGAGTTCAGAAATATGAAAAAATAAATAAAAATAAAGAGCTAAGTAAAACTTTACTGCTGCTTCTCAGATTGCCAGTCAATGTTGACATCCCCATCTCTGGGGTGTACACAAAGCACCCCAGTTCCCATCAATATATCACAACAGAGGCAAATGGGAAACGTAGCATCTGTTAGCTCCACAGTAGGCAACCGTAGTTCTCAGAACTGCATATGATCCCAGAAAGATTTCAAGCGCTCTTTACCCACAGTTGCCAAAAACTTTACCATGGTTTCCTGCTATTTTGAGATAGGAAGCATGCAAAATCTGCAAGAGAAACCAGGGCATTCTGGTTTCCACCTAGTTAGGTTTGCTGCGGCCTTTCACCAAAATCTTAAGGGTCAAGTACTAGAAGTCAGTGTAGATTTAATTCTTGGCTCAGAAATGATTCTGGATTTCCTTCATTGAACGAGGAAGCCTGACCGGTCTAGGAAAGGTCCAAAGCCATCTTTACACCAACCAATTCACCTTCCCTGACCTGATGCCCCTCAGATGCGTTGGGATTCCAGTCCTTCAACATAGCACAACTATCTGGAATACACTAGGTGGGGTGTGTGGAAGACAAAGAGGATCTTTTACACCAAAACAAGCAAATCTTCTCCACAGACCTTCTGTCCTTTCTCTCCAGGCAATCCAGGGGCTCCATCAGCTCCCGGTCTTCCAGAGTTTCCTGGAAGTCCAGGTTCACCTGATAAACCAGGCAAACCTTTAAAAAAAAAGATAAAAAGATTACAGGGCCATGACAATAAACTCCAACCCGATCCATAAAATCTTCCCTTCCCCTCCCTTCTTTTTCTACAGCACGCTTGCGCTATAGTTCAGTCATCCATTGGCAACTCCTGCTCCAACCACTACATCACACTGCCTTTATAGAACACGAATGAGACCAACCTTTGGGCCCTGGTGGGCCTGGGAGTCCAATGCCAGGAAAACCGGGTTCACCTTTTTGCCCGGGGATTCCTGGCAACCCAGGTGGTCCAAGCTGACCAGGTTCTCCTGTTAAGAAATATATTCCAATCATCAAATCCACTCTTCACCCCTTAACTCTGGTTAATGACAATTTCTCAGCCGTTTTGGTGCTGCAGCCACCAGCTGTACTGAATATTACTTTCCAAGAAAGGAGAAAGAGAGACCAGTTGACTTTGCTAATTACTGATCAACAAACTGTTGATGGGCAAAGCCTTAACTTGTCCACAAAACCCAGAAAAGGAACTCAGGAAGATGATCTGAAGGTATCCACCTGGCAGCAGCCAAGACTTGAAAAGGTGAAAAATATTTGGGGGTCGATTGGTTATCCCTGCATGCAGACATAAGAGGCAAAACTCTTGCAGTAGACTCTTCTGAGCACAGAGTGTACATGCCATGAATTCATACATGAAAGACCCCAATTCAAAGTAGGGAAGAGAATGTAACCTCTTCCTCACCCTCTGCCCTAAGTTGGAGTGTGTACTATCCAAGGTTACTCACTGCGATATTGTGCATTAATTCACTATTTTACTTTCTTGGCTTTCTTATGATACTTGTTATGAAGTTCTCTTTCTGTTCTCTATTGACCTTTGTCTTGGGGCTCCTTTCTCTGCATGGGCCTTCTCTGTCTCCTACAATGAAGCAAGTAGAAACTTCTACCTTGCAGCATCTTGGCTACTCTTTGACCTATCCTTAGCCTGTCTCCCATAACACATGCCTGACCAATTTGATCTGATGGTGAATTCTGGGTTCCTTTGATCAAACAATGTCATTTCTCGGGATCCTGGAAGTGTACCTTCTCTAGGAGATGACCAGGTGCGTAATCAGTCTCAAATCCCTTCCTGCCAAGAGATTTAAGTCCAGCTTGAATTCCGTTGACTCCTATTGACCGCTAATTTGCTTTGACCATTAATAGTTCCGATTCTTGTAAGAGCGCATTAGCATGCAATAGACCTGTTTGAACCACCTTGGCTCCTGGTTTCTTGTACCTGACACCTTCTCGGTATCGGTGCTTATCCACTAGAATGAGGTCCCTTCCAGATTCAGATGACCCACATTTTGCTGTATTTTTAGAAGAGCCAAGAAGACTTTGCTTTTCACCCAGGCCTTTGATGAGGGAGAAGGAGGCCCCTCACTTCATGGTGCTTGCCAATTTTTATCTTTTATTGTAAATTCTTTGTTGGATTGTTGTGAGCAGCCAAGCATTCTTCAAGTTTAATAAATAACAGGTGGATAAAAAGGCCAAACCTAGTTTAAAAATCTGGCTAACTATACAACCAACCAGGGTAACAATTCACAAAACATCCTGGTCTTCCATAATTATATTAAAATGGGGTTAGAAGAAGTGGGTGGTAAGACCTAAACCTAAAATCCCTTCCTCCAGAAATGAAACAGACTTTGTTATGTCGTCAGGAAATATGGCAGCTTTTTACCTGGAAAACCATCTTCCCCATTTCTGCCTGGGGGTCCTGGAAGTCCTGGAGGTCCTTTTTCAGGAACAGATTGGGCAGGTTCGCCTTTGGGCCCTGGAAATACCAGAAAACAGCAAGAGGAAAAAGCTGGTTATATTTCATAACAAAACCCAAACAGAATGGGACCATCATTCCATATTTTGTATTCTAGATTGGTCTTCCGATGGTTTTTGTTGGTAGGATGGATTTGCACTTTCTCTAGTAATGTAACCTGTAGGAGAAGAAGAGGCTGACCTGGAAGGTGGGGTTAAATGTATCATCAGTTTAGAAGCAGTACGCTGTCACAAAAAATTTAAGTCCAGCCTCCCATGAATTCTAGTGCCAATTTAGCTTTGACCATGACTAGATTTATGTACAGAGGTAGCAATAATAAAAACACTGTTGACCCTCTGGTTAGATGGATCACAGGACTTCAAACTCCTCTCTTCTATAGAAATAAATGTCACAGGCAAATGATCTTTCATCAATCTGAGCAGGCAGTTTGTAATAGGCATCTAGGAGGAAGATACCTACCTGGAGCACCCGGTGAACCTGGGCGGCCAGGGACGCCCTGAAGCCCCTTTTCTCCTGGAGGTCCTTGTGGTCCAAATCCAGGAGGTCCTGGAGGCCCTCGCTCTCCAAAAGGTCCAGGAAGACCTGGCTCTCCAGTAAGCCCTCGGTCTCCTTTGAAAGCAATGCTACCCTAGGGCAACAAAAAAGGACTGTCTCGATTAAGCCATCATAAAACCCATAGGTTGGTTTCACCATGATCTGGTTGCTTCTAGGTTCACACACTTTACAGACACCAAAGCAACCCATCAACCCACCAAATGATTATGCCATTTACTAGGCAAGGAGTGAACCAGGTGATCAAAGGGAAAATGAGTCTCAGTGTGATGACCCGGGGCATGACACAAAAATATCAAAGTCACAAAAGTAGAATAAATTCCCTTTAATGCCTCCAACTTGGCCCCAATGTCCAATTATCCTCGGCTGGATAACAAGCTCTTCCAAAAACAGACTACGGAGGGCAGAAATGCTCTCCAAACCCAAAGTAAAGATAATTAGAAATAAAAAAAAACCAACGTAAACCACACTGAAGTCATCAACACAGCAGGCCAGAATGATAAATTGCAGCCTTTCAAAGGATAATGCAGTACCCACAGTTGGGAGGATGCCAAAACCCAGATAAGGCTCGACCAAGATAATGCACACTTTGCTTCCAGTAAGGAGCCGTGAGCAAACGCCCCACTTATATCCTGTTCTCCCAGCTGCAACCAATGAAAGGGATCAGGGCCTTCTTCTCTCTCGCAAGGCACATTGCTCCCTTCTCCATTCTTCCCTGCGTGCCCTAGGATGACAAGGGTATGGGCCTGGGTCTTCCTCTGAATGCCCAGCCGGACTGTGCCCTCCCCCCGTTTCCTCCACAGCCACCGGAGCCACACTCCCACTCCCTGTCAGCTGCTCAATCTCCCCCCTCAGAATCACACTCCAACAAGGGCATGACACTCGGAGTCATTGACATCCAAATGTCTTGCCCTTGAAGCATTGTTGTGATGATGATTGGATTTATTTACTGCCTCCCTCACCATGGGGCTATTGTAGATGGCTCACAATCATACAAAATGAAGAAATAAAAAGGAAGTTTAAACAAAATGAAATTAAAATAGAACAATAAAATTGACAAGGAAAAAGAAAACAAAGAAAATACATCAATATGATAGTAAAGTCACAGCAAAACTCGTAAAGAGCCATGTGACACAGTGGTTGGAATGCAGTATTGCAGGCTAATTCTGCTGTTTGATCCTGAAGAGCTCAAGGTTGACTCAGCTCTTCCATCCTTCTGAGGTGGGTAAAATGAGGACCCAGATTGTTGGGGGCAAAATGCTGACTCTGTAAACTGCTGAGAGAGGGCTGGAAAGCACTGTGAAGCGGTATATAAGTCTAAGTGCTATTGCTAAAACAGATGGGTGTGTGGGGAGCAGAGAGTATGGGGGAGGTGGTGTAGAGTTGTAATTGCAGGAATATTCTTATCTTGGATGGCAAACCTCAGAGAAAGAATGTTTCTAAGCAAATACAACTCAGGCAAACTCATCTAAAGGAGGATTAGAGAGAGGAAGTAAACATATGTTGGACTTTGACTAGAGATAATTAATTGTGTTAGTTACTATGCTGAACAGTAACGAAAGTTAAGCAGAAATCAAAGTTAACCAATGTTGGAGGATTACTAAAATGTGTATAAATGCAAGACTAGATTCCAGTAAAGATCATCATGATTCAGTTGATCATGATCAAACACCTCAACTGCCTCATCGTTACAACAAGGTGGAGTCTGCTATCAGTCCAGCAGCCACCTCCAGAGTCAAAATTCTCAGTTGGGTCCCAAGGCCAATTTGCAGAGCCTCTTACAGAAAGATAGGAGGTTGGCAAATCTTACCCTGGAGGGCAGGATGCTCCAAAGAGCGAGGAAAAAATGTCAAAGCACATATTCTGAATTTGAAATAGGTTGCTTTGACAATTCAGGAAAAGTTTCAAGCTTGAAATGGTCTCCTTCTCCTTCTTGAAACACTTACTCCGTTAGAGCGGTCTCGGGGGCAAATTGCTTCCAGAACGGGCACTCTGGGATGTGTCTGCACATAATTTGGCACCCAGTTTCAGTTCAGTTCCTAAATAAATTTCCTCCATCAGCAACTAGTTATTCCCGGGATATTAGACTTGGAAATTCCTGATTGAGGCTTATCATCATAGGATTCCAAAAATTATGCCCTCTTCAGTGACTTACTGGCTCGCCCTTGGGTCCAGGACGACCCGGGAGTCCATCTTTGCCAGGAGAAGCATCTAAACCGGGCAGCCCTGGGGGCCCCGGGAAACCTGGATTACCCTTTTCACCTTTCATCCGAGGGAAACCAATCACTTCACCCGGATCACCTTTAGTGCCAGGACGTCCAGGAGAACCTGGAAGTCCAGGAGGACCCTGGGGACAAAACAAGAATGATTTTAGTCCTTAGGATTGCAGGCCTTTGGCCCCTGGCTCTCCCTCCTTCTGCCAAGAACAATCAAGATGCTTACTTGAGGCCCAATAGCTCCAAATACGCCAGAAACGCCTTTGTCACCTTTTAGCCCAGGAAGACCTGGAGCCCCTGGGATCCAAACAGAAAGAAGAGATTAATGGCACAGGAAACAAAATATTATCCCCATATCCCAAAGGATTTGGGGGGGGGTGTTATTTTTTTTCCTTGAAAATGTTTCGTTTCTCATTCTAGCAGCTTCTTCTGAAGAACTGAAGCAGCTTCTTGGATGAGAAGTGAAACATTTTCAAGGGGAAAAAAAACCACAAGCAAGTTCAGTTGCCTTTTGGAAAAACACCTTTGGGACAATCATGCCCTGCATGATTGAGAATCTTCACAGACATTATGCCCATGACTGAGTCCATGTTAGCCTGCAGGGCAAGAAGGGGCAACCTAGGTCCACAGCTGGCCACCCCTGGGTTTTCCAAAAGCATTGCCCACATCCAACAGCACACTACTCCCAAACGGCTTGCAAGGTATTTACTGACCACAATGTTTTTCAAACTTGTTGACTTTGATATTGAACTTAACTCCCAGAATACCCCAACAAGCATTCTGGGAGATGATATCCTCACATCTTGGACAATTAAAAAAAAAACATTCTGTTAACGGAAACCAACAAGTTTTTACAACACTCTCTCCTCCCATTCTCTGAGAAACCTGTTTATGCCTAATATTTTGATCCTATCAGTAGCTACTATTATGGCATTCATTTCTCCTTCAATTTACATTTCAATTTAATGCAAACAGAGGAAGCTGAGTTTGTGGACAAATCCATGGGGAAAATGTGATTTATTCTCCCACAATGCTTTACTATCCAGAACAACAAATTGATTGTCCAAGCTTTTTCCCTCATGAACCTCTTTCTCCAGATATGGAACCAACTTCAAACCTCCGAAATAGCATAGCCACTCCTGACAATTTTAGGAATTGAAAGTCTGCACATCTGGAAAGAAGCCACATTTGGGAAAGGCTAGACTAATGTTTGTTTTTCCTCATATTTTTACCCTCTCTACATTCACACGTTTCATGGAGTGGTGGTAATTTCTGCAGCATGTGAACAAGACTGCTCATGATGATGTTGTGTCCAATTTAGGGCGTATCAAAATTTTTCAACTTTCAACTTCCAAACATTAGGAGTGCTCAAAAGTTGTGACATGCCTTGGGGATTTCAAAGATACTTAATTTTGGGTGCGGCTGTAAATCGCCATAAGAGGGAGCAAGAGAACTTGATTGATTGCTGGCTTACTGGATTGCTTGCTGATGATGATGGATTGTTAATTGCGTGTTCTTTGCTGTTGCTGAAGGAAGAAAGGAGGTTTGACTTCTTCATATCTCAACTGCGAAGAGATATATTACTGGACTGATATTTGTAAGTTTACTGACCTCTTTTTCGACACTGGACTTTGCAACTGATTAATCCCCGAACGGACTGAACTAGTGAATGATATATGGACTGTTTGACTATGCTATAAATCTTACTGGAATAAACTATTTAACTAGCACTGTGTATCTGTTTTACTGAGTGTAAGCTACAACAACGTTTATCTCACATATTTGCCTGCCTGCCTGACTGCCGTGCAGGTTCTGCTAGGGTGTATATCCCTAACAGTTAGCCAAGTCTTAATGGGCACAAAAAAGAAGCAGAAAGAGAGACAAGCTACAAATGCATACCTGGATCGCCAGGGAGCCCAGGAAAGCCTTTTTCCCCTGGGGGGCCTGGGATGCCGCTTCCTATGCAGTTAAAACAGGTGTCTCCCTTGTCACCTTGAAAGGAATAGCAAGACACACAGCACAATGGGTTGAAAGCAAGAAATGCAGTGATATACAAACATCCCAATGAAAATCATTCAGACAGCATTTTCCTGCAAAAATGGATTCTCTTGATTAGAAGCCTGGCCAACCAATCTTCTGTGGAACCCTTGGTGCTTTCTGAGCTTGGCGGATGGCTGGCAGACATTTCATTGCTGAACTAGGTAACATTTTATTGTATAAACAGAGGCACAAAATCAAGATCACGTGAAGTACTAAGTCAGGGACGGGCTTCGAAAATTTCAGCAATGTGTTCTCTGCCCAGTTTCTGGCTGGGCATGGCCATGATGGGCGTGGCCTAGTCGGTCTCCTGCACCACGCCAGGGAGGGCAGTGTTTTCGTCTTCTCCAGGCTCAGAGGCTTTCCTTGAGCCTCCGGGAGGGTGAAAATGGCCTCCCCCAGGCTCCGGAGGTCCTCTCCCTGAGTCTCTGCGGGAGCACTGCACTTACCTCGCATCCAATATGGGCTGCGTGGAGACTCCTGGGAGGGGTGGGGTTGGGTGGGAGGGGTAGGATGGGGTGGACGGAGCCAGCCAGGGGTGGGATTTGGAGGTTAGCCAAACCCGGGTGAACCCGTAGCAGCCCACCCCTCTGGTACTAGCGCCACTTTATAAAGCCTTAGTAAGACCACACCTGGAATACTGCAACCAATTTTGGTCACCATGCTACAAAAAGATGGGGTTTTTTTTAATTTTTAATTTTATTTTATGAAAACAATCCAATTTTTGTTTAAACAGTGTGTCGTCTGGGTTCAAATATCTTGTGCAATAACCATAAGAATCAAATATGTTAAGAAGGGCATTGTTATAATAATTAGATATATTATGTACAGTAGTATGAAGTAATAATAGAGTACTGATATTATGGTAATGAATATATGTTAATTGTAATGGTTATTGCACAAGATATTGGACAAAAAAGCTCTACAGGGAATCATTAAAACTGCCCAGAATATCATTGGGCTCCAGCTACCAGCCCTGGACGACATCTTCACATCTCACTGTTTGAGAAAGTTGCACAACATTCTCAGAGACTCTTCCCATCCTGCTTACAATCTTTGTGGAACTGCTGCCTTCTGGCAGAAGATACAGAACAATTAAAACTCGGACCACATGTTTTCTGAATAGTTTTTATCCCAGGGCTATAACTGCACTTCACAATGAACTTAAGGACCACCATCAGTGAGCTGTTGGACAGTATTACTTGGTCTGTTGTGTGGATGCTTGTGTGCTTTTAGGGGGTGAGGAATTTTGGTGGGTGCAGGGGTGTTTGGGGATTGTCATGTGTGTGTGCGTGTTGGGTCTGGTCTCTGGATGTTATATGAATTTCGTTGTATGTATACTGTGTACATACGTACAATGACAATAAAGAATTCAAATTCAAATTTGTACCCATACAAAAAGGATGTTGAGACTTTGGAAAAAGTTCAGAGAAGAGCAACTAAGATGATCAAAGGCCTGGAGACTAAACCATATGTAGAACGCTTGCACATTTTGTGTCTGGCTAGTCAGGGGTGTCAAACTGGCAGACAAAGGCCGGAGGCATCACACATACGCCACACCTACCGCAGCTGGACTAGAAGACCTCCAAGGTCCCTTCCAGCTCATTCTATTTTATTCTATTATCAGTATAAGTCAGTGTGGGGTTTGTTCCCTGTTTACATACAATAGCTTGCCCTGCTCTTGTTGGTTGGGGATGTTTTTTTGTTTTTTTTACTAAGAGCTACCTAGAACCACATCCTATATTCCTATAATGCCTTCATTGTATCTAGATATTTATTAATTTACAGTTCTTTTGTAAATAGTGGTTTACAGCATAATCAGAGACTATGTTTATGACCTCAAAGAAATACTTGCTTTGTTTTTGTTAGACAACAAAACTCATCCTCCCCAATTTTGTGGCAAACCACGGATGAAACCAGAGAGGAGATTCAAAGGAAGCTTGTGAATGTTACAGGCTGAAGAATGGTTTAATAGCAGCTCCAACAGTAGCAGCAATAAAACAATCCAAATTCCTCAGTCTAATCAAGAAATGAACAATGCTTTAGATCAGGGGTCTCCAACCTTGGCAACTTTAAGGCATGTGGACTTCAACTCCCAGAATTGCCAAGGTTGGAGTCCCCTGTTCTAGTCCAATCCACTGTCTCAGACAGGAGATATTATACCATCCTGGACAAATCAAATTTCCATTCTTTTCTTTCCTGCTTATATGAGGCTGGAGAGCCCTGCTTTACATTTATACCTTTCTGGCCTCTTTCCCCTGGAAATCCTTGTTCTCCACCAATTCCTTGAGGGCCAGGAGGTCCTCGCTCACAAAGCCGATCAACTGAGAAGAAAGAAAAAGAAATGAGAATCAAGACATGAGTCCATTTTACAGGAAATAAATGCTGGAAAAGCCCAGGGAAGCTTCTCACTCTTAAGGAAGACCTTCAAAACTTGCACTCTTGGTATCCATTCTGAATAACAGGACAAAGAAAAGGGACTTTATTTGTTAGTTATTTCTTAAATTTGTATACTGCCCAACTCCATGCAACTCCCAAGTAAAAAAAAAACATTTCAGAATACAGTAAAAGTAAAAAAAAAAAAAGAATAAAAAGAGTGTGTTGGAGCTTTCCTGGTGGGTTTGAACCACAACTCTCAGAATCCTTGGATGCACAGTCAACGTGGTTTAATTTCAGGATCCTGGATTGAATTAATCAATAATATTTATTTGGCCAGTGTCCAGCAAAAATATAAAAGAATAAAAACAGAGTGAAGCAAACAAATACAATAATATGCTAGCAAAATAAATCACATCTTAATTTTAATATACAGTTGTTATCCAGATGAAAAATCTAAAGTATTAATAGGTATAAAATAAAAACCATACATCCCCTAACAATTTATTAGTTAAGATATATCAATGGTAATGTTTAAAACAAAGGTAATTAGGTCTTTAACCAATTACCTCTTGCTTTCATTGCAGCAATTCAAATAATGTCATAACCCGTCCCTGTATTTCAGCTAATATAGACGGAAATCAATTGTTGAACATTTTAATATATACCAATAATTATCATCTTTCTCACCTGCGCACATGGAGCGTTAGTAAGGGAGGCCCTGGATTACACTTGGATCCAGATTAGATTGTAAGTGAGTCCCTGAATCTCAGTTAATATAGACCAGATATACATAAAGAAGAACTAGGGGTGACATGACAGCAGTATTCTAGTATTTGAGGGACCACCACAAAGAAGGGGGAGTCAAATTATTTTCCAAAACACCGGAGATCAGGAGGGCAGGACAAGAAACAATGGATGGAAACTAATCAAGGACAGAACCAAACTAGAACTAAGGAGAAATTTCCTGACAGTTAGAACAAATAATCAGTGGAATAACTTGTCTCCAAAAATAGTGAACGCTGCAACAGTGGAAGTTTTTAAGAAGAGATTGGACAACCATTTGTCTGAAATTGTGTAGGATCTTGAGAGGGCTAGACTAGAAGACCTCCAAGGTCCCTTCCAACTCTAGTTCTGTTCTAGTCTAATCTAGTCTACATTATTTACCTCACTGAGCAGTTACAGCCACTCCTCCATTTACAACTATTTATTTAGTGACCAAAGTTACAATGACATTGAAAAAAAAATGACTTATGACTGTTTTTCACACTTATGATGATTGCAGCATCCCCACAGTCACATGATCCGAATTCATGGCATGTATTTGTATCAGCTGCATTGTCCTTGGGGTCATGTGGTCAACCACTTGCAAACATCCCAGATGGCTTCCGACAACAGAGTCAATAGGGGAAGTCCGACTGTTTCAGTTACTGCATTATTCACTTAACAACTGCAGCGATTCGCTTAACAAATGTGGCAAAAAGGTCATAAAGTGTGGTAAAACTTACTAAACAACTGCCTTGTTTAGGAATGGAAATTTCAACATTTGCTTCATTTTCTTGGCAGCCCTATCTGGTAGCCTTTTTTTTTTGTTCAAGGAGGAGAAGGAATACCTATTTCAGCCTCTCCAGCCTGTATCTTTCAGATGTTCTCCTCTCACACATATTGTCAGTTGTGCCTCATTCAAAAGAAAGAATTCCTTCGACTCCATTAAAATAGAGAAAAAGGACTTTTACTGAGTTTGAAGTGACAACATCAAAAGAAAAGCAAGATCTGAGGCAAATAGGCGCGGAAATTACATATTGAAAGTTATCCCAAGTCCTCTCCCCCAGAAGTCCAGACTGGTCATCCAATCTCAGGTGTATATAATGTCATGTGGGGTACATCTTCAGGTGGTTTCTCACTCATCTGATTTGCCAAGACGGTTGACATTGGCCTAGTAGAGATAAGTCTATGCAGTTGTGCAGTAAGCAGGAAAGCATCCCCTCCTTTTTAGTTCACACAGAAACGTCTTCGCACTCCAGCAATCTTCCCCTCAAAAAGACCAAATTACCCCTCCCCCCCCCATTTCTATGGCAGCCGACAAGAATCAAGCAGCAAAAGATGTCAAGAAAACTTCTTGGGAGGCTGACACATATTGATCAACACAGTCCTAATGCCTGCAGAGTAGCCAGTTGTGGAAACTGACAGAGATGGATGACCGGCAGTTGATGGGCGATGATCAGAAATATTACTTACCAGGTGGGATGGTTGATCCTGGTGGTCCTGGGGGCCCTGGTGGTCCTCGGAGTCCTGGTTGTCCATCAATCCCTGGCTGCCCTGGTATAGCAATCCCAGGAAGGCCCTGATCCCCTTTCTGTCCTCTTTCTCCGGGTAATCCAGGTGGACCTGAAGGACCTACGCTTGGAAGTCCTACAGTGAAAAAAAGGATGTTAGAGAGATTAGTTTAGAAGGGAGAGATATATCAGATATATCAGAAGCTCTACAATAGGAAAATATGCACTATCTTACCTGGGGTGCCTGGTAAACCAGGAGGGCCCACAGGGCCAGGATAACCACGATCTCCTTTGTTCCCGGGATATCCTGCTAATCCTTTGCTACCCTTTGGTCCCACTGTTATACCGGTGTCCGGCCTCGGAATCACCTGAGGTAGCCCAAGGAGCAAGGAAGAATGTTATTTAAATGTAGGGCATGAAAGAAATAGGATTCTTTCAGATTACACTGGAATCTTTTCCCCGAGAGTTTCAAATAATTCCATGGTTTCAACTCCAAAAACATCACCATGAGTGAACCATTCCTGAAACCAAGGTGATTTGTCCTCAGCACTTCAGCCAACTTATGGGAAATAGTAATCAATACTCGTGGATATTTTTCTTAATATTCTACCAATGCTAGTATGCAGGAATTTATTGGCCCGTAAGAGAAACTGTGTTTTCATTGTCCTGAAGAGAGGGTTCTCCAGTTGGCTAGCCCTCAAATTTAAAAATATTAAAAGCAAAAGTCTAAAAAGGTTTTCAAAGCTCAAATAAAAGCAGGACATTTATCTCCCTGGTGTTAGGTTTTGCTCAACCAACTTCTGAAATCAAAATCATCTCAGAATTTTCTTTAACAAGATTTACTAAAAGCAAATCAAATAAATTACAAGGATCATAACAACTGGTTTGCTTTATCATCAGAACCCATTTGATCTCTCCGCCTGTTAAGATGGAGACCTAGTGAAGCAAATAAATATAGTAATATCCTAACAACTAGCAGAATAAATCACAGAATGTCATGTTTGTTTTTCTGTTACTTTTTAATGCAACTATTACCCAGGTGATAAATCTAAAACTGTGGGGTCCTTGGTGCTCTCTGAGCTTGGTGGTTTTCTTGCAGACGTTTCATGACCAGACGAGATAATGTCATCAGTGATAGAAGGGGCAGGGTTTGCTCTCTATTTATCCTCTAATGGCTTGCCACACAAGGAATTTGTCTTGGTGCAAATGCTCTCAGTGTACATAAAAGAAAAGCTACATTCGTCAAGAGTCAAGAATCATAAGGGACAACACTTAATGATAGTCATAGGGTACAATAAGCAATCAAATCACACTACGAAACAGTCCATATAAATCGTAAGGATACAAGAGACAAAGTTACAGTCATACAGTCAAAAGTGGGAGGGGATGGGTGATAAGGAGTGATGAGAAGGTTAATTGTAATAGTAGTGCAGACTTTGTAAATAGTTGGACAGTGATGAGGGAATTATTTGTTTAGCAGAGTGATGGCATTTTTGAAAAAACTGTCCTTGTGTCTAGTTGTTCTGGTTTGCAGTGCCCTATAGCATCGTTTTGAGGGTAGAAGTTGAAGCAGTTTATATCCGGGATGTGAGGGGTATACCCCTCTCAGTTAGGACAAACATGGTGCATTGCAATTTTTTTTAAAAAATGTAATTTATATTATAAGATTTAATAACGGCAAAAGAAAAAGTTCTAAAAGATGTTCACTGAAGAAATACCTTTGCAATGGGAAGAATCTTCCTGAAATGCAATTTAAAGAAGGAGGCAGAAGGGGATCAAGACTTACTTGTCCAGGTGGGCCAGGTAAACCAGCATCTCCTTTTTGACCCTGCCAACAAAATAAACATCTCAAAATCCCGTATTTCTGAGAGAACCGATCCCAGCACAATTCCACCTAATTCTTAGGAGGATTCTGAACTGCACCACTGCTTACCTTGTCTCCATCTCTTCCCGGGATGCCAGGCGTGCCAGGTTCACCAGGAAAACCCTGGCAAGAGATAAACAGAACCTCTCAATCCTACAAATATTTCACATCTGGACATTTCCAAATGAAGGAAAGACAGAAAAGACTTACAGACAAACCTGGCAATCCAATGTCCCCATCTTTTCCTGGCTTCCCCTTTTGAAAGAGAAACACATAGAAAAGTGTTAAATAATAATGAAGCTGGAAGATGCGCCTGGCACTGCAGCTGGCAGTCAAAGGTTGAAAATTGGAGGTTTAGGTAAGTACCACGAGGCAGTGGGTCCACATTAGTTAGCAGGAACCATTAAAGTAGGTTTCAAGGCTGAAAACAGGATGGGAAGTGCCAGCCTGAAGCTATTCTCTCCCATGGCATGCGGTAGAATGGATTTCATTTCTCCAGAAAAGATAGAAAACACTGTTTTTTCCCCCTCTACTCTATTTTTACTCTAAAACTGGATAGTAAATCAGAGCCCTCCAATGTCAGAACATCCTAGCCCCTTCTTTTTATTCACCAATTTTTTTTTCACTTTACGATCCTGCAATCCCTTTTATTCGTGGTAGAGTCAAGGTGACTGAATGGAGCTGAGCATTTACTGGCCGGATGCCCTTCCTGACGCCTATGCAGAGTTTGCAGCAGATATTTTCATTGTGCACCCTGATAAAGAAACATCTGCTGCTGCCTAGAATTGAACTCCCAACCTTCCAAGTGGGAGGTGAGCATCTTCACCACTGTGCCACCACTTGCTCACTTCTTATTCCCAGACAGTTCTGTTACATTTAAAAATCATTTTGAAATGGTGACAAAATCTGCCAACAGTGGATTTCTTTCTTCTTCCTTCCTGATAGGAAGATGGAGGTTCACTGGTGGCCATGATTCAAATAAAATGGGGAGAGAAATTTAGTGAATAATACCAGGATGGTTGTCAATGGATGGATTTTTCATTTCAGTGTGTGTGGGGAGAAACACCCATTTATAAGATTCAGGAATGACCTAATAAGCTTTCACCTATTAGTTTCTATTCTGGTAATCTGTCTACTAGAAATAAAAGTAGAATCTAGAAGTACGTAGATCAACTTGAAATGTTCCTGTATTTAAGACTATGCCAGAAAATCCAGAACAAATGTGACATCTGAAGTGTAGAACATAAGGAAGGTGACCTTGATGGAGATATGCAAAATCTGTTCTTAGGGAGACGGGGTGAAAAATATATAAGTCTATAGCAAATAGATAATGTTCATAAAGAATCATTTCTCTAATTCATTAAAGGAGGAGGAAGATGATAAAGGAGAAGGAGAAGCAGGAGGACTTGCAAGATTCTGTTATTATAGAACTGTGGAGTTGATTTCTTGATCTGGTCTAACTAGTGGGGCTGACATCAATGTTGTAAGTTTGATTTGGCTGTTCTTCTCTAGGGCTCCTTCTAAGCCACTCAACTTTCTGCTTGTTGTAGACTTCAATTACAATCTTGTATATCTCCATCAAGGTCATCTTCCTTACTCGCTACATAAAGCTCATGAACATGTAACTTGGAACAGCCTTTGTCAATCTTACAATCGCATCAGGACAACCTGAGGTTGCAAGCCCTAGATATCTAGAGGGCACCAGGCTTCTAGAGGCCAAGTTAAGCATGAACAAGGACACAGCATAAGTACAGGTATTGTATCCTAAAAAACAGAAGCCATAAAAGTGCGACTAGGATATGAGAAAACTGGTGTGAAGCCATGGCACAAGGCTGATATTCCCTATGTCAATTCCTTGCTCCAAACATTTATGGGTATCTTCTCCATAAATGTTTGCCACAGAGACTATGCGTCCATTCTAGTTTAGAGATCCTGCTTTTCAATAAATGGTTAAGGGGAGATCTGATTCCAACTTAACTTGACTCTCAGAATTACTGCAGCCTCAAAAGAAAGCTAGGAGGTCTTTCTTTTTAATGCGTGCCTCTTCAAATGATCATTTCTGATTTCAAAGTCATGTATAGTATCAAGTGAAAAGCAAGAATGGACTCCGAGCTTTGGGGAAAACAAAGTTATTGATTATTCAAGAAACTCTAAACAACATCTCAAAGAAATCTGCATCAGTTGCAATGGCTCACGAAAAATGTCTCTTCCTTCCATAATATGATGATGACCAGATTAGAAGTCTCTCTTTAGCTCTTTGCTCAATACTTTTGCTTTTCTATTAGATACAGGCAGCAACCATTTCAGGCACTTAAGTGGATGAAATTTAAAAAATATGGAAATCTCAGGTAGTCCTCCACATAGCACTAGGCAATAGCACTTAGATTTATATACAGAGTGTTCACAGAGTGTTTTACATAGCACTTTAGAATCTCCTCTAAGCAGTTTACAGAGTCAGCATCTTGCCCACAACAATTCTCATTTTACCGACCTCAGAAGGATGAAAGGCTGAGTCAACCTTGAGCCTGGTGAGATTCGAACTGCCAAATTGCAGGCAACTGGCAGTCAGCAGAAGTAGCCTGCAGTACTGCACTCTAACCACTGCACCACTGCAGCAGTCACATGACCCTGGGATGCTGCAACTGTCTAAGTACCTGTTGATTGCCAAGGGCCCAAATTTTGTTCACATGATGGTGGGGATGTTGTGACAGTCATAAGTGTGAGAACTGGATATATGTCACTTTTTGCAGTGCTGTTGCAACTTTTCAGTGCTGTTGAAAGTTGAGGACTACCTGTACATTTGTTATTTCTTGAGTGTGATGGTATTATTGGTTGATGTGTTACTCTAACCTCTAAAGTCATTGAGAAGCTAATGATATTTATATATTTAGGACTTCCTGCCCTTTCACTAAAAGTTTGAATAGTGGGTAGAAGGGGACAGTCACAATATATGCAACCTGCATAGGGAAGAGAAAAGGGGGCCATACACACCCTTTTGCATAGGTTAGTATGTCTTTGACTTCATCGTTCTGAGAACAAAACACAACAGCCTTTGTTCAAACCCTACAATGGGCTTAACAAAGTCAAAAGAAAAATTTATTTCTGCAAAACCTGGAGAGGAATATTATTTGGGTCCCATTCATTCGGGATTCTTATGGCATCTATTATAGCCTTGGCTTCTGCCAAAAATTGGAACTCCCAGCGATCAGAACATGGGTTACTCTGATTCATCCTTTCCATGATTCTAGAATCTTAAGGTTAGAAGAGACCTTGAAGGTCTTCTAGTCCAGGGGTCTCCAACTTTGGCAACTTTAAGACTTGTGGACTTCAACTCCCAGAGCTTTGTTTGCTGAGGAATTTTGGGAATTGAAGTCCACAAGTCTTAAAGTTGCCACGGTTGGACAGCCCTGTTCTAGTCCAATCCACTGCCCAAGGCAGGAGATATTATACCATCCTGGGCAAATTGAATCTCCATTCTTTTCTTTCCTGCTTACATAACTGCCAGTTGTGGATTTCAGGGCCAAGGCAAATACACACAGGTATTTACTCATTTGTCCGAATTTCTGAGCAACCAGAGGTTGGAAAGCAAAAATGACATCTTCATTTTTATGCTTTGCTTCCAATTTCTTTTCCAAATATGAAATCAAGGAGGAAAAAAAAATCATATGAATTCCTTAATCCAGATTAAAAGTTAAACGTTGATGTCTATTTGTTATAACTACATTAATAGTGGTTGTAGACATGCATTTTTTTTCAATGGCCTCTTTCATCCAGGAGGGCCTCATCCACACCAACTCTAGCAGATCATACGAGAAAGGAAAAAGATCTTACCCAATATCTGGTGGCCCAACCTGAACTCCCAAAGCTATACATGGTTTGGAAAGGTAAATACTGGGTTCCAAGAAGTTACTTACTCTTTTGCCTGGTTCTCCTTGCTCACCTTTTTCACCTTTTCCACCGCCAGGAGGCCCCTGGAAATCAGAAAAGGACCCCATTATTAGTTAATAATAGGGGGAGACCCAACCTTTGGAGAATCCTGCTGCCCCTTCACAACCGAAGCAAAGGAAAATACTTACAGGAGGCCCGGGGAAGCCCGGGGATCCTGGGGGGCCCGGGTCACCTGGAGCACCCTGCCAAGAGCAAAGGGAAATTATTACAAATCCATCCTGGGTGTCACAACTGACCAATATTTTTTTTCCGCTCACAGCTTGACAGTAACAGGGGGTGGGAGTGGGATGGGATGCAAGAGTGGAGGAATGGTATTCAAGCAACCATCAGTTTCTGTGAGACTCAAGGACACACCAAGCAGATGTCGCAGGGTGGTTGGTTGTTCCCCAAAGCAAAATGAACAGAAGTGATTGGTGGATGTAATAGACTGTGGGTAGCCTGTAGGGAAAGCGGGGAAATGAACTTTGCTTGCTTTTGCATGGGAAACCCAGAGCTGAGTTTTGCTTCTTCTGTGCCAATGTGGGGTTTGTTTGTTTTTTCAGTAAAGTTTTATACTCTTGGTCAAATAATGTCTCAGGAGTTTCTTTTTTCTGGATTCACCAAATGGGCAGTTGATGCTGAGATTCTGATCAAGTTCTACCTTCAGATTTTATGAACAAATATGTTTTCAAATTCCATGGAAAGTATTGTCAATTAGAGAGGATGCAACGTTTATTTTATGTGTTTGTATCCTGCCTTTATTATTGTTACAAATAACTCAAGGTAGCAAACATATCCAACACACCTTCCTGTTTCTATTTCTATTCTAACAACAATCCTGTGAGGTGAGTTAGGCTGAGAGTGAGTGACTGGCCCAAGGTCACTTAACTAGGTTTCATGCCTAAAGCAGGATTAGAACTCTCCATCTCCCAGTGATTGGCCCAAAGTCACCTAGCTGGCTTTCATTCCTAAGGTGGAACTCCAACCTTGGTACAACTCACCGACTCCTCGTGACTGACCCATACCCAGATGATTTCATGCCTAAGGCAGGACTAGAATTCACTGAGCTGGTTTGTTTCCTAGGGCATTAACATTAACCCAGTTTATCTTTCTTTAAGAATCCTATTTAATTCCAATTGTCACTCAACTAACTGCTTTGAGTGACTTATCAAATTGATCTAATTCAAAAGGCTGTATGTATGTGTATGCATAAAAGTCTGTCCAACTACTAGATCAATTTGAAATCACTCAATTGCACTTGGTCCACTGAATCAGTTGGACAGGTCACTTGACAAGTCAACCATGATGCCATCCCATTGTCTTCTGTGATGTTGAAAATGCTTGGAGCCATCACGGCAGATGTGTCTCCTTAGGACCCACATTCAATTAAAATATGTACATACATTTGCCTGAAATCTAAGGTGATGGTCAATCTGCAGCAGATTTTGAAGTCTTCAGTACAAATCTCGTGAGATTTTGCAATCTCAAGATTTTAACTCCATTGTAAACATTTTTTTACAATGCCTCCAACCCTCCCCCCAATGGTACTTCCATTAAAATGATAACTGTCCAAGAGTAGAAAGGTAAGGATGTTTTTTGAGGACTTTCGAGGACTTTTTGAGAAGATCTTATGATAGTGATATCAAGTCTATGTGGTTGTATGTATTGGGTATTTCTAAATCTGAAGGCACACTGTGCTAACTATGCAAAAATTAAGCTACTAAGTTCTGGGCTCTCTTTTCTATGGAAAAACAATGCAGAAGAGCACGTTGGAAAGGGCAACTTTACAAACTTCACAAAGTCTATAAAATTGAAATGATGACAAACATAAGAACACTAAATCTAGTTCTTATTCCAAACTTTCCACCTTTTGATGTATAGCAACCTCCAGCAAAATTTATAGATCTCTCTATAAAGACAAAGAGATTGTAGTGTAAGATCAGGTTTATTAATGGATGCTACTGTGAAAATGTTGGTAAATGCTGGAGGATGGTCAAGTGTAACCCATTAATGCAACTGGGTAATTGAGTGAGAATGGTAAATGCTCAGACATTGTGGGAGAAGAACAGGCAGAGTTGGGGGTGGGTGGGGGTAGAGTTAAACAAGTCATTAGTCCAGAGTCGTTATGTTGCCACAAACAGTCCAAGTTCAACCACTCCTGAATTCCACTGACCCTTATCTAGTGCCAATTTGATGCTGAACTTTAGCTGAGATTCTCGTATATAGGTTTGAGCAATAAATCTTCTGAATTGCAATTTAGCTTATGGTCTTGATCCTTTGTGGCTGACAGATACCACCAGAACCATCTCCTCTCACTCACCTGATCTCCTTTTTGAAATTCTACATCATTGATTCTTGTCTGTTCGCCGATCTGTCCTGGTGGCCCTGGAGGTCCTTGAAGTCCCTGTTCACCCTAACTCCCCCCAAAAGACAGCAAGGCAGATTAGTTGTATTGGTCATTCCCCCAGAAAGAGTCAGCAATCCTGGAAACCAGTTCAAAGGGCCAGTCCAATATTCCACACTCACTTTTTCTCCTTTGGGTCCTTGGAAATTCAAGCCCATATTGCCCTGAAAAAGAAAGGAAAACAATGACTACCATGAAGATGAAATGAAATAATAATGGGAATGATGAACCTTGGATAGAATGCTCCTTATTGATTTCTGTTTGCAGTGATTTTAATAGTGATTAGACAACCTACAACAGGTTGAATCATCCTTTGACAATATTTACTTGCCTAAAGAGATAAACAGAATGAATGGGCAAAAAAGCAGCGGGACAACTTTTGACTTGCTACTGGCTTCCCCATTGACTTTGCTTGTGGGAAGCTGGCAGATAACTGGTGTGAAAATCCTTGAAATTTCAATTAGAAGAGGAGTAACAGATATCTATGCATTTTTTAAGTTAGCAGATCTGAGGTATCCTGATTCAAAAATTCTTGCCCTAGGAAGCATTTCAGTTAATTGAAAGTTACAAACAGACAGTTGAAAAAGCAACAACAACTAATCAGATACAAAAAGTTTATCATATGCCATACCTTAGAACCCGGCGGTCCTGGGGGACCAGGAGGACCCTATTAATGTAAAGAAACTCATTAATTTCCAGAATTATTTCTGTACACATGATAAATCAATCTACGGTTGATAGGCTCGCACAGTACAATTACGGCTGAGACATAAGTAAAAATTGGCCCCGATCCAATCATTCAGTCAATTTGGAACTCTGGGCCAGTTTATTTAGGAAAATTAAGTGAACCTGATGCTCTGAACTGAACCAAATTGATTTGATCAGGTTGAGCTGATTTTTTTTTTTTAAAAAAACAAGATTTTAACACATGCCCCCAAAGTCTTTTAAAATTGTTAGATCAATTTGGAAGAATTGAAGAAGCTACTTGGATAAGCAGCGAAATGTTTCAGCCAAAAAGAAAAGAATTGCAGTTGCCATGACTCAACTTTCAAACAATACTATTTGGATGATTTGAGAGTCTTCATCAACATCAAATCTGGAAGCTTCGATTTAATCTGAACTGTTAATTCGAATCAGACAGTCAACTTGGTTTGGAGATTTGATTGAATCATTTTCAAAATGAATCTCTCAAAATAAACTTTACACAATCCAAAGAAGGATACTTGTGAAAACATAAGAAATATATATAAATACAATCGAGCGAGTCCAGAAGTATTTTACCAGAAGAGTACTACATTCCTCTGTTCGCAACAGAATACCCTACACCACCAGACTTGAGATTCTAGACAACCTTGAACTACGCTGACTAAGATTGGACTTAAGAATAGTACATAAAATCATATGTTACAATGTCTTCCCAGTTAATGAATATTTCAGCTTTAACAACAGCACAAGAGCACATAACAGATATAAACTTAATGTAAACCACTCCAAACTCGATTGCAGGAAGTATGATTTCAGCAACAGAGTGGTCAATGCCTGGAACTCACTACCTGTTTCTGTTGTCACCTGCTCAAACCCCCACTCCTTTACCCTCAAAATAACCTCCATTGACCTCACCCCATTCCTAAGAAGTCTGTAAGGGGCGTGCATAAGCGTACAATCGTGCCCACCTCCCCTGTCCTATTGTCCCCAATTATTAGTTCCTATTTCTTGTATTTAAACTTACGTTTATTCTTGTTTTTGTTTATTATAAGCTTTTAACAAATAAATAGATAAAAATAAATAAATAAATAAAAATAAACAAATAAATAAAATAGGGATGCTTTCCTGAGGGCATCCAGATGTTACTGGAGCTCCAAATATTAGGCCTTCCCTTAGGTCCTCTCCAAAAAGACAGCCCAATTGCCAAGCACCCAAAATGCAGTCATATGACCAAGGCATATGACCAATGACAGTCATATGACCAAGTCATATGACCAATGACAGTTCAAATCAGGGTCATAAATACCCTCGCTGGTAGGTACATCAGAACTTTTAATGGTCACTAAGTGACCAGTCATAAGTTAAGAACTCCCTCTATAACTACGCTCCTCAGCAGAAGAGAAAAAGACATAGCCTTTACATGGTCATTTTCTTAATCCTTTTAACTCAATCTTCAGAAAACTCTTCCCCCCTCAAAAAAAAAAACCCCTCTAATCCATCCATTCGTAATTTCATCTGGTGCCAATTTTATTCCTTCCACTAATTAAATAGAGATAATCAGAAAACTGTACCGTCAAACCTGGGGGTCCAGGAGGACCAACTGGTCCTTCTACACCAGGGAGACCAGCAGAGCCCTACAAGAATAGGAAAAATTGTTGGATAAGTTTTGCCTTTAGAAGGCACATACTATCATATAATCTGCGAATGTCAGGAAAAATAAGAGTATCCCCTGTAGAGGACTGGACAGCCAATCAAAAGATATTGTTTGTCACCCCCCATGTCCCATTACATCTGCAGACATTTCATTATTTGACTAGGCACTGATGTGGTTACATAGCTGGGTAATGAAACGTCTACAAGAAAACAACCAACTTCAGAGAACCCCCAGGGCTCTACTGACACTCTTGTAGGATAATCCCAGGCAGGAGGTGAACTACTTGGGAGATTGTTTTATATTCACAGATACCAACAACAACAAGAAAGAATCATATGTTGCTTGCCCAATTTCAGTGATGCATTGAGTTTTGCAAATTTAATTGGGTGCTTCAATAAAAAAAATACCAAAATGCCACAATGTAAGCATAATGGCTGTGAACACTGAACCACTCAGAAACATCAAGCTATCCAGAATTTTGTTTAGAATCAAGCAAGTCAGTCCTATTGATGAAGACAACTGACATGTCTCCAGCATCTGAGAATGTCTTGTTATCAACCTCTGTATAATCTTGGAAGCTACAAAAATAGAGACGGGAAATTACTTAAGACCACTATTACTTTATGCTGTATGTCAACAGTTTCCACTTTAGACCAGAGCTTAAAGAGCTCTTTGGACATCTTTTTTTATTGAAGGTCATCCATCTTCTATTTGCCTTTATTTTTATCAGTTTTTTTATCTTTCTCGTGGAGGAAGTGCAGAGCATGGGATTATGTTCCAAAAAGGCACATGCTAGTTGATTGGGGAAAAAAACCTTTCTAACCATAACAGTGGCACTTTTGAACTAAGGAGGTGATGGTGTCCCCTCTGCTAAATATCCCAAAGATGCTTTTCAAAAGGCAGTTGGACTTGGTTTTTCTTCAGTCCACAGCAGGAGTCTCCTTGTAGCCCTTTCAAACTATTTTATATCAGCAGCCATGACTGCATCAAAAAACATTTGATCTGAGAATTTTTCTGAGTTTTGACTTCCTACTCAAGCAGCACTACCTGTTAATGTTTCGCTATCATTAAAATATTTTGCATACCACCAAGTTTCCTTAAAAGAAACATTTCACTGAACCACATCAGATGCTTTAGCCAACTTACTGGAATTCCAGGTGGACCTGGAAATCCTGGGTCACCCTTCTGTCCAGGGAGGGGAGAGGTGATGGTATCTCCACGATCACCCTAAAATGTAAAGATGGGATATGGATTAAGATAGTGATACTCATGATGAGCTTCAACAAGAAGACACACCAAAGTGCCCACTGAACTGTTCAAAATAAACCTTCCAACAACTTCTTCATGCAATCATTTTCTTGCAGAAATACATTCACAATAGTCAGTGTTCCAATTATTTGAGGGGCTGCCACAAAGAAGAGGAAGTCAACCTATTTTCCGAAGCACCAGAAGGCAAGACAAAAAACAGTGGATGGAAACTAATCAAGGAGAGAAGCAAACTAGTATTAAGGAGAAATTTCCTGACCGCAAGAACAATCAACCAGTGGAATAGCTTGCCTTCAGAAGTTGTAGGTTCTCCAACACTGGGGGCTTTTAAGATGGGACTGGACAACCATTTGTCGAAAACAGTATAGGATCTGCTTGAGCAGGAGGTTGTACTAGAAGACCTCCAAAGTTTCCTCCAACTCTATTATTCTGTTATTTATATTTATTCTTGCAACTAAACATCCGGTAGACATTATTTTGCTGCATAAAGTACTGATTTATGTTCATGTTAAATGTGTGGCCCCAAGAAAAGGTAGAGGGATTGGGGACAGAGGAGGAAATCAGGGTCATTGTGCTTTTTCTTTGAAAAAAAAAAAATGACTTCATTCAGCTTGAAAATATTACCAGAATGCAATTATGTTTAATGAAATATACTTTCAGAAGTACAGAATTTTTTTTTAAAAAAATCCAACTAACAGCCATACAAGCATTTAATTGACTGGGTTGGTCTTTTGTCTCCTGTTCAGGAAACCTCTCCGATTCAGTGCAGACACCACATCAAAGCTAGATCAGAGCTTGGCAGGATGCCTGAACTGAAGAATGGAAAAGAATAAAAACACCTTAAAGTTGGGTTTACAAACCATCACTTATTTTAGCTAAGGTTCAATGTAATGTCTGAACAGGCAAATTAAGGCATTAAGCAGTAACATAGACTATACTTTTAGACCGGGGCAATAGTAAGGAGTTGGAAACCCAACAAAGGAATAGAAAATGCATGAATGTACATGTTCAGAAAATTAATGAAGGTACTGTAAGATGCAAACTTGCTAGTTACACACCACTTGTTAATGATCAACCATTATCATTCTGCTTGGACTTGGAGAACTGAACTTGGTGTCCAGTGATGTTTGGTGAAAAACTCTGTTAAATGCATTGTCAGTTTTCTTAGCTACAAGAGGGCCAAAGAGCATGTGTGAATGTCATTGAGTGTATCGTTCTTTCTTCAGCAATTTGTAGCTTCTGTGGCTTCTCACATTTTGGTGAAATCCCAGGAACATATTTTTGTTTTATTTTATTTAGAATCCGGGCACCAAGAGGCCTGAAAAGCACTGGAAACATTTGCAACAGAAAGGGAAAAATCCAAATTGTAAGATCCTTCACTTCTTATAATAAAAAAGCAGAAATATAAAATCCTGCAAGGAAAAACGGGGTGAGGATGGAAAATTCTAGACTATCTTAGCTTGTGTTACAGCACAATGTTGGGGAAACTTGAGAAACCCATAATGCATCTCTTCTAGCATCTGTGACAAAGCTGGCTTGTCAATTCTTTTATTTTAGAAATGTATCTACATCTAATAGCATCTCATAGGAAAGAAACCCAGAGAAAAAATCAATGACAGCTACCCAGGTACTAATAATTAGAGGAAGCAACATGCTCACAGTGTGTGATTCTACACTGGGGAAAGCAAACTTACTTTCATTCCTGGAAAACCAGGTGGGCCCTGTAGAAAAAGGAGAGATAAAGAATTAAAAATAAGCTGTGGATTCTGTAAACTGGATTCTGGTTTGGACTGAGAGATCTGACCTTCAGTCTCCCTCATCCTCCATGTTTGATTAAAAGAAAAGGATAGAAAATTATACTGGTTCAGACTATCTTTTCTAAATTCAGTGAAAAGAATGAAGTGACTAGGGAATGGAGCAAAAATATAGGCAATTAAAGCTTAGAACTCTCAAATTCAGCAACTTTAAGCAATGGAACTTTTTGATTTTTCTTTGAGGTGTTTCACTTCTCATCCAAGAAGCTTCTTCATTTCTCATTAACTTAGAACTAAAGAAGCCTCTTGGATGAGAAGTAAAAAGTCTTTTTAAAAAATCAGAAAATCCAGTTGCCTTTAAAATGAAAACACCTTTAGGACAATCATGACCTGGATGAATGAGAATCTCCGTACACACACACTTTAAGATATGTGGACTTCAACTCCCAGAATCCCCCCAATCAGCATTTGGGAGCTGAAGTCCACTCATTCGCAAGTAGCTGAAATTGAGAAACCCTGATTTAGATGAACATTGAGGAATATGCTATTTTTTAAATATATTTATAACTTCAAATTTGGGGTCTTAGTCTTCAGCTATACCAAATTTCTTGTATCTTTCAAACATCTGCAGAAACACCAATAATTAATAGAAAACTTTCCCCAAAGAGATCACTCTAGCATCTAGAGCTAAGGAGAAATTTCCTGATAGTTACAACAATTAACCAATGGAATGACTGGACAGTCATTTGTCTGAAATGAAATTGATTTCCTGTTTGAGCAGGAGGTTGGAATAGAAGATCTCCAAGGTCCCTTCCAGCTCTATTCTGATTGATTGATTGGTTGAATGAATGAATGTTAGGTGTCATATATATTTTAATTTGTTTATGAAATTTATTTGCTGCCCCATCTTGCCACAAGGTAACTATGATATATCAAAAGGTCTGTCTGTCTGTCTTGCTATCTATCTTCTTAACTACCCGTCTCTTTCATAAAGCATATCATAGCTGTGTAGAGTTGCCCCAAATAGCAAGATGGGTTGTATATAAATTAAATAAATAAAAAATAAATAAATGTAAACCATTCTTGGAAGCTCCAATAAAAAAGCAATGGAGACGTCATCTACAAGTTTGAACTTGAAGAACATCGCATAAAATACAATAAACAGTCAGGCTGAGGCTTCAAAAACTATTTGGAACCAAGTATACCGTATGAGTGACAAGAAGGTATTTCTTTTACTTACGGGAGGTCCAGCCAAACCTGGGAAACCCGCGCTGCCTGGAAAACCACGTTCTCCCTAGAGAAGACAGAAGGAAAACTTTCATTGAAGGCCTTCAGTGGCCCAATTTGGACATCTGCGAAATAGGGAAAGAACGTCACAATTTAAAAGCAAAATGATTGCCTATGTTCATATGTATGTATGTATGTATATATGTATGGATGGATGGATAGAAGACCATGCTCTATATTTATTATTTTTTGATAATCATCTTATCTAAGTTACATGTGGTAGAGGTTGGCAGCTGTGCTTACAAAATGCATCACATGAACATGCCAATAGATCCCCATAGATATTAGCATTGGAACACAGAGAGGTAGTTTTTTGCTCAATGCTGAATTCTGGAGTTGGCAACCTGCAATCATATGAAATTTCCCCCAATTTTATCTTCCCTTTTCCCCTCTCCCTCTCCTTTTTTTCTTGTAGCTCCTGCTGTTCCTAAAACCACTTGATGAAGAAACTGGGTTGGTATGCTCAGAAATGGGATCATTTATTCCAAGCTTATTTTGGAGATAAACTACCATACTTCACAAATAGCTGCCACATCCCAAAGTAACTGACTTAGGGGTTTTTAATGCTATGGTTATTTCCTTTTTTATTAGCTCTTTTCCAAAGCCACAGATACTATCCTGATAATTCCCAACATTCTATTTGTTGGCCAATTAACGGGCAAACTCTTCAAAGATTTTTCCATGCTGAGAAATCAGGAGTTTAATAGCACCATTTCCAACTAACAAATGTTATTAAAAGACAAGATCTCATGAACTGCAGCTTAGTTCTTTGGAGGTGTAGTGGTTAGCCGCTAAATTTAAATCCTACATCAACTGAGTAAATCTGTGCATTTAATGAATTGAGTTGAGCTCACAAAAGCTTTAATAAAATTTGTGAATCAGAAAAGATGTTATTAGACTCCCAATTTTTGCCACGATAGATTAACATGGTCCACTTCCTATAATTCCTTGAGTGATACGAGCTCAAATGCTTCCTCCCCATGGAACTAGATTAATCACTGTGGTTGGTTGGGTGGGGGACACAGGTTACTATTTAGAAACACAGTTTATTATTGATTTTGAAAGCATGACAGACACAAAAACAAAGTAGCACAAGGCATTAATTATGGGATGCTAAGAAAAAACGCAGCTGTTTTAAAGAGCTAAAACAGGGGGTATAGCTACCGTATTTGCCGGCGTATAAGACGACTTTTTTGCCCTAAAAAACATGCCTCCAAGTGGGGGGGTCGTCTTATACGCCGGTAAATACATTGTCACTCGGTGCAAGAGCGACGGGGGCGGAGCTCCGCAACTTGCGAAGCCCCTTCAAGCCCAGCCGGAGTCTCTCTTCCTCCTCCTCCCACCCACCCACCCACCCTCCGCCCGGCTCGGGGCGCTTGCGGAGGCCAATCTGGAGGTGGGGTGGGGGTGGAGCGGGAGGGTCTCTGGCGGGGCCGCTTTGCCCAGCCAGCCCCGAGCCGCGTAATGGCCCGGGGAGTGGGGGGGGAGAAGGTGGTGAGGGTGGACTGTGGCGCCCCTCCTTCTGGGCAGCGGGGCGGGGGGCGGCAATTTGCTCCTCCCGCTTCTCCCTCCCTCTTTGAAAGACCGGGAGGGCTGTGCTTGGGGTGGGGGGGGGGTGTGTCCTCAGGAAGTTCCTGATGGGACCCCGCTGGGCAGGGCCACCCGGCTCCCGAGCTGCTTTCCAGGGTCCCCTTGGGAAGAAAAGGGTCCGGTGGGCGGTGGAAGAAGGCGGGCACCCTCCTCCCGCCCCCTGTCCCGTCCCGTCCCTCCTCTTGTCCCCTCCTCCCCTCCCCGCTTAAGAGAGAAAGATCTGCCTCCCCTGCACCGGGCTTCCACCCGGCGCCGCGTCTCCCGGCCAGCGCGCGCTTGCGACTTGGGAACCGGCCAAGCGACTTTAAAACCGAGCGGAGGCCAGAGATAGCCGGAATTACCCTCCACACCACACACACACACACACACACACACACACAGAGAGAGAGAGAGAGAGAGAGTTGGCAGCTGTCCATCCCCCACCCTTGGAGTCCCGATGGCACGCACGCGGGGGCTGTCACAAAGAAAGGGAGAGGAATTGAGTGCCAGCCTGAGAAAGGCGAAGCTGCCTCTCTAAAGCATTTTGGTGGCTTTGTAAGTTTGGGGGAAAGGGGTTGGGGGTGTCAATCAAGAATTATATCCAGAATACCCCAAGTGTTACAACTTACCGTATTTGCCGGCGTATGAGACGACTTTTTTGCCTTGAAAAGCATGCCTCCAAGTGGGGGGGTCGTCTTATACTGCGAGTATATAACAAAAACTATATTTTGAGTGGAAATGTTGGGGGCTCGTCTTATACGCCCAGTCGTCTTATATGCCGGCAAATACGGTATGTCCTGCATTCCAGAGGCCTTTTTAAAAAAAGGAATTGAAGCATTGGCTATCCGTACCATACTGCAAAGCACTTGAGATAAATGGCAAATTTTGCTTTTCAGTGTTCAACTTTCTCATATACCCATGCATTACTTTCACTTTCCAGCTGCATTTGGACAGCAAAATCAAGGACAGAGAACATTCCTTCAGTCGCTACTCCTATGATTAGCCTCATCAGAAGATTTGAGCTCAAATGTCAAGCTGACATCTACTCCACTTATTTATTCAGCGCCGTTAGATCATCTCGGCAGTTGCTAAATGAAAAGAAGAGTCAAGAATTTAACTCCAAGGAAACCTAGCCAGAATTGTCAATTCTCTCCCACCTCCCCCAGTTGTTTTTCCAAAAGGGAGTTGAAAAGTGGCCATAATTGCAAACCAATCTCTTCATTTATATACTTATTCCATTGCTGGTTTGGAAATTATCACAATTATCAGGTACTTAGCCACTGAATTTCAACAGTGCATCTTTGGAGATTGAAAGACCCCCAAAAGAGACATTGGTTGACCACATTTGACCTGCGGACTGCAAGTTGCCAATCACTCTATTAAGAGCCTGTTCTAGACAGAATTTCTTGTCTCCTCCAAAGTCTTCGCTTTGCAAACAAAGAGTCGAGAGTTGGATCCACTGCAGTCGTGCAGCCTCTGTAATTAGCAGAGTATTTCAGACACTGGTTGGTCACTCTGCATGTTCCGCATGTCTTAAAGGAACACTGCCCTCGATGTGGTCAGATCAGCCCCATTAATTGGACAGCTGCATCTGGGAAGTTTTCTTGAGAGCAAGATAGGTTGGCCACTCCCTTCTTCTCGACCTAAACCTGGCATTTCATGGTGGTCTCCCAACCTTACTTAAATCCAACTTTCCTTAAACTTTTCTAACTCAGCCTGCTGCTGTATCCTATCCTGGTTGTGTAAATTAAGACTTTCTGGCTGAAAATGTCCTCACGGCATCACTTTACAAATCAGCCAGTCCTAGCAGCCAAACATTTAGGGCAAGTATTGTTAGCATATGTGCAAAATTCCAAATTTGCACATTAACCCTCTTCTACTATGACCATAGAGCAGGGGTGTCAAACTCATGTCGTCATGGCAGCATCATGTGACGAATATTGGGACTTTTCCCCCCCCCTTTGCTAAACTGGTTGCGGGCGTGGCCAGCATGTGATGAGTTTGACAGGCCTGCTGTAGAGTAATTGTCCCACACGAGTTAGGAAAATTGTATGCTTCCAAAGGAGCCAATCCCACCTTTGTTCCGTTGCATCCTGGGATACCTTGGAGTCCAGGAGGTCCATCCTGACCTGGGAGTCCCTGCGTACAGAAAGAAGAACATCCGATGTTGATTGTATTATGATGGTTGGTTGGTTGTTTTTAAAGACAGCTATTTAGCCACCATGACTATAATACAATTTACTTACAGGAAGCCCCGGTGTTCCTGGAAAACCTGGTAAGCCTGGAGGACCCTAAGATGAAAATAATAATAATCACAGATCGAGTTAGATAGTATCCAATATTTAGAGGAAAACAGCATTTTATTTTAAAGAAAGGCTCCGGAGCAGAGATTCTTTTGCTAGTCTGAGAGCAGATAGCAAGCGAGATGAGAATATTTCAGGGTTCAGGGTTGAACTGTGGGGTCCTTAGTGTTCTCTGAGCTTGGTGGTTTACTTGCGGATGTTTCATTACCCAACTAGGGAACATCATCAGGGCTAGAAAGCAGCGGGGTTTCTGAAGAAGGAGGAATGGGAGGAGGACTGTGGGATCCTTGGTGCTCTCTAAATTTGCGGTCATTTTTTTGCAGACATTTCAATACCTAACTAGGGAACATCATCAGTGCAGGGTGAGGTTTGCTTATAAGTCTTTTACTATGTATGTATGTACAATATGTATGTGTGCATGCATGTAATATGTTTGTATGTCACTATCAAAACAACCCTTGGTGACTCGTATCTACTTTATGCTTTATGCCAGAATTTTTTTTTAAAAAAATCACTTACTCGGATGCCTTTGGGTCCTGTAGGCCCTGCAAATCCATCATCACCCTGCAAGGAGGAGAAGACAAAGTGTGACCAATGGCAGGAACAGATCCCTTGCCAGAAAAGCAGACATCCATGCGATATCTTCAACAAAGAAGGGCTTGCTCTGCCCATGCCTCACCTGAACATGAGAACATGGGTTCTGCTATGTCAGTTCTCTGGCCCATTGAGTCCAGCAGTTTGTTCTCACAATGTCAACCCAACTCCCCAAGGAAGCCAATTAGTCTCCTGGATATGGGTGGGTGTCCCTTCAGGTTAGGTTTTGACTCCTAGCAACTGAATGGACACATCCCTGCAAGTTTCTTAACACGATTTCAGATATACTGTAGCTTGACCTTGCTGAGGGTTGAGGGATCACCAAGGTCACCAAGTTGGCTTCATGCCTAAGGGTGAGATAAGAACTCACATCTCCCTGTTTCTAGACTGGCACCTTAACCACCACATCAAACGGACTCTCATCGTGTTCAAGACAAACTTGATTCCTGGTTATTGCCTGCATGAGTTCCTGCAGATTTCTCGGCAAGACTTTTCACAAGTGATTGGCCACTGTTTCCTTCCTGGGCTGAAACAGGGGGAGTGAACCAAGGTCACCTAGCTAGTTTTCAGTCTAAGATGGGACTAGAATTCATGACCTCCCGGATTCTAGTCCAGCACCTTCCCCGGTAGACTAACTGACTTTTGCTCTGAAAGAGAATGACCGGCTCACGGCCACCCAGTTGGCTTTGGGCCTAAAGTGAGTAGAACATGTACTCTCCCAGTTTCTAGCCTGGTGTCTTAATCGTTAGATCAGATTGCTACGAGTCGTTCTTGATTTCTACTGACTATGTGAACAAATTCCTGAAATTTTCTTGGCCAGGTTTTTCAGAAGTGTTTTGCCCTTGTCTCCTTTCTAGGGTTGAGAGAGAATGACTGGCTCACGGCCGCCCAGTTGGCTTTGGGCCTAAAGTGAGGCTCAGTCTCCCAATTTCTACGCCTGCTGTCTTAACCACTACACCAAAATGGCTTCTCTAGTCACTTAACAGAAAGCAAAATAAACAGGTCATCCAAGATGGCACCGCCCTGGTGACTGTAGCATCTGAAATGTTTCCTTCCATTCACTCACCTTCTCGCCGCGAGATCCAGCTGGTCCTTCTGGGCCAGGGAAGCCAGGCAAACCGGGCTGGCCGGGCAGTCCTGGGAAACCTCGATCGCCCTGCGGCCAAGAAAAGAGCCAGGATGAATGAGCTTGCTCTCTGCACAGCATGGAATGGTAGGTGATATTTTTTTACAGTTTTTTTAAAATTAGCTTATAATATAAAATACAAAAACACAAAAGCAAAGAGTATGAAACAAAAGGGAGGGAAAGGGGAAGAGAAAAGTGTAGAAAAGAGTGGCAGGAAAGGCATTGACTGCAGACTCCCTTTGGTGCAGTACACTAGGATAGTAACATCAAACCTCAACTTTTTACATTGACATACTTTTATAAACTAGCCATTTCTATAACAATAAATTTATCAAATCAATAAAACCCAAAACCAAAGTTTCATTTTTTTCCACCCAAAGCACAAAGTCCACAAGCGGTTTCCAAGTAGAAACAAAAGTATGGTTTTTTTCTTTGATCAAAACAGTCAATGGTGGGCGTCAGTTCGTTTCATGTATGGGTCGGAGGGGTTTGAGGCGGGTAGTGATGCAGCTGCGGTACGGCTTCTGGTCTGTGGTCATGTCTCATCTTCTGTGTGGGTGTGAGTCTGCTTTCTACGTGGAAGTGTGGTGGTAGCATCTTGTGTGGCCCTCGTGCGTGTGGGTCTGGTGTCATTCTTCATGCTAGGTACTCGTTTGTTCATGAGGGCGGGTTTCCAAATGGCTGGTAGGCGGGAGGTATCATCTCGTTTATTTATGCTGTGTGGGCGTTTTTCTATCTCTATGGCTTCTCTGATTATTCTGTTGTTGAAGTGTTCGGTTTTGATTATTCAACTGAAGTGTTCAGTTTTGATTATTCAACTGATTATTCAACAACAGAATAATCAGAGAAGTTCTGTATGTATGTGTGTGTATATATATATATAGAAATATATAGATTCTCTATAATGAATATGAGATACATTTTCTGAAATAAAAATAAAATAAATACATTTCATTAAGATGGATTAATGCAAGAATTAGGGCTAAAATATACACTGAAAACTTGGGCACTGTGGCAGGAACTTCAACATCTCCTTTATTAGCAAGTTTTTTTTAAGGAGAAGTCTCTAAAGGTTTCTTCCTGGTCTTTGCAACCCAGGAGTCAGCTGCCATTTAAGAAATAAACCTTTGACAAGATTTCCTCTCTGTTGATTGTTGTCCAAATAACCTTCACTTCTTTCTCAGGCTCCTCACAGTGCTTTTCCTTACCCTTAACATGCAAAAGTCTGCAGCCAGGATCATAAATTACCAATTTGTCATTTTATTAAAGTCATTACCAACCACTTATCAATTCTTCTTCTCTTGGCTCTGGACTAAGATGCACAGGATGACCTGGTCCCATGATAATCAAGATATTAAAACTATTCTCAGCCACCTCATTTATCTTTAGATGCTCTTCTGCCTTGCTAGCATTCAACGTTCAGCAAAATTTGAATGGTGATGCAATGGCCTGATTTTTTTCTTTCTCTGGAAAGCTGCAATTCGGACCTCACTTCAGTCCAGCAGGAAACCTGTAAAGGTTCTGCAATACAGAGGTAGTCCTGGACTTATGACCACAATTGAACCCGATATTTCTGTTGCTGAGAGATTTGTTAAGTGAGTTTTGCCCCATTCTACAATCTTTCTTGTCGCATTTGATAGTAACACGGTTGTTAAGTGAATCCGGCTTCCCCATCAACTTTGCTTATCGGGTCAGAAAAGGTGTGATCGCATGACATTGGGACACGGCAACAGTTATGAGTCAGTTGCCAAGCATCTGAAGTTTGATCATGTGACCATGGGGATGCTGCATGATCATAAGTCACTTTTTTCCGAGCCATTCTAACTTTGAACAGTTACAACTTACAACAAATGGTTCTAAGTCAAGGACTGTCTGTATTATCCTACAGTCAATCACTTGGATACAGTTTAGAAAGAGAAACCTCAGATAGATGGATAGGTAGGTAGGTAAGTAGTGTCATGCTCCTGTTGGAATCTGATTCTGAGGGAGAGGTGGAACAGCCGACAGGGAGTGGGAGTGTGGCGGAAACTGGGGAAGGGCACAGGCCGGCTGGGCATTCAGAGGAAGACCCAGGCGCACCCCCTCTTCATCCTAGGGCACACAGGGAGGAACGGATAAGGGAGCAACATGAGTTGCATGGTTTATGGGGGAGGAAAGGGCCCTGATACCCTTCATGGGCTACAGCTGGGAAGAATGTTTAAAAGGGCAAACTCCACATGGCAAAGTTGCTGGAAGCAAAACATGAAATTATTCTGGCTTGTCAAGTCTTATCTTGAGTTCTGGCGTCCTCACAAGGGTGTGTATTTCATTATCTTTAGATGTCTTCAATCCCTTATCCTGCCCTGTCTCGTTAATTGCTGCAGTGTGATTTGTGTTGGTTTTTCTTTATAATTTATATGTACTTTGAGTTTGGATGCAATTTCTTTCCCTTAAAAACTGTTCTTGGGAGAGTTTTTTCTCCAGCCGGTGATAATTGGACATTGAAGGCCAAATTGGAGGAAGTAAAGGAACTTTACCTATTTTTGTGACTTTGTTGCTTTTGTGCCATGCCCCGGGTCATCACAGGTAGATGGGAGGGAGGAAGGGAGGGAAGGATAGAATTTTTTATTGACCAAGTGTGATTGGCCATACAAGGAATTTGTCTCCGGTGCATAAGCTCTCAGTCCCAAAGGTGCTTTTGAGGAGTCAACTGGAATTTCTTGTTTTTTTCTTTTGAAGACATTTTGCTTCTCATCCAAGAAGTAAAACGTCTTCAAAACGAAAAACAAGGAAATCCAGTTGCCTCCTCAAAAAGCACCTTTGGGACAACCATGACCTGGATGATTGCAAATCTCTATAGACTATAAGCTCTCAGTATACATACAAGCAACGACTGATCTTGTGTGATTGCTTGGTCGGATTAAGTGCCATCAAGCGGGTGCCAACTCTTCATGACATGGGCACATTTCTCACATTTCTGGCTCAGCCTGGTCTTTTAGGGCTCTCATTGGTACACTCATTGCTGCTGCAATCATGTCCATCCATCCAAGTCCAACTCTTCTGGGGAAAAACAATGTCCTTACAAAGTCCAGAAGGTTCTGCTTTTCCACAATTGTTATGCCAAGACAGCTGAGCTGGGGGTGGGCTTCTGGCAGGTTTTCCAGAAGTTAATCTCCCCAAACCAGAAACAGATTGTGTCTTTTGGAGGCAGCTTACCCCTCCCTGCCCCCAAACTGATGAGTTTCATTCTGGAATGTTTGATGTTGTACTCTCCTAATGGACTGGCTTGGTTTCCTTCTTTAGCTTTCCTTGCATGAGACTTGCGGTTACCAAGTACATCAGAATCCACCCTGGCTATCCATCTTTCCCATTTTTGAAAAGGCCCCTGGGGTGCCCTTTTGGCAGGTTAAATGAAAACATGCCAAGCCATGAAAGATGGACTCTGAAAAATAGGACATTCTCTCACTTTTTTCCTCCCTCCCACACACCCACACATACGTGCCTTGGTCATCTACTGTAACCCGTGAAAAATAACTTATTCCCACTTTTAGAAGAATATCTATGAA